ATAGCGCCAATTCACAACACATGTCATCTCAAGGCACTTTACAGTTCACCAGATCATACAGTCAAATTGATTAAAAGTTTTCTATCTAAAGAAAACCAGTTGATTGCTTCGACTTATTGAGTTGATGTGCAATCCCTCTCACCTAGCATGCTTGTAGCGACAGTGGAGAGGAAAACTCCCTTTTAAAAGGAAGTACCTCCAGCAGAACCAGGCTCAGTGTGAGTGACCATCTGCTGAGGCCTACTGGGGTTCAAGGAGACGGAAGCAGAGATACAAAAAGCAGCTGTAAAAGGCGGCCCGGTCCAGGAAACACACAGCCAGGCAGACGAGCTCCGAGCCAGCTCCCATGTCGGAGGATGAAGAGAGCACATCCAGCCAGTCACGGACAGAGAAACAGGACCACACTGGAAAACAGGCCGATCTCCAACTTCTATAAACAAGGGTGTTGATGGCAGCAGCACAGCTGATATTTCTCTCCAGGATGGAGTCACAGCCAAACACGGTCCAGGATTTTTCAAAGGAGGTTGCTCCCCTAAGGTTAATGTCAAGCCAACGTAAAGCTAAACGATTAGATTGGTGCTGATTGTGATTCTTTATGGTCATTTATACAGCACCTAGGAATTGGTGAAGAAGCATTCGAAATAAATTTTAAATGTTATGAGACAGTCAGACTTTTAAATATATTTGGACTTGAATATCAATTTTATGATATATATATAATTTTAATCTACATATTACAATATCCCAACATTTTTTTAAAATATTTTGTTAAAAAAGGAAATCAATTTGCAAGAATAAATATTATTGATGCTCAAGTAAGTAAAGTAAAAATGCAATTATTGAAAATGATGAAAATTTTATTGAGCTTATAAAGTCAAGAAATGTTGTAAAACGTAAATATGTTGTTCCGTATGCATCAACACACATTCGTCACATGGAGGTAGTGTTGTTCTTTTTATCAGTATATACCATGTTGAAAGGAGAGGCTTTCACGTAAAGGCAAACATTTCATAATGAGCATGTTTGTTGTTTTTTTTAAAGCTACGACTTAAAACATCTAAAAGGATATTATGTTTGTTTTTTACCTTCAGGAGCATCGTATCATTTGTGTTTGAAATGTTGCAATACTTTTCATGAGGAATTGTTTTATCCACACTTTGTCTGTACTTTACCATCACTTTATCATCAACACCAAGGAAAATTATGTATTCACTATAATTGCTGGCATGAGACAGCATAAAGATAAAAAGTACAATACAGTAATTTTTACATACGTGGTGATAGCATATATAGCTAAACAAATGCAAACTATTGTTACAAATCAAAATGAAAATATTATTAACAGACAAAGCTTGGCAGCAAGCAGTAGTCATTGTAAATGGTCTATATTTATAGAGCGCTTGACCAATGCGCTTTACATTGCATTCAGTCATTCACCCATTCACACACACACTGATGATGGCAAGCTACATTGTAGCCACAGCTGCCCTGAAGCTAGGCTGCCATACTGGCGCCACCATCAGTAGGCAATGCGGTTGAAGAGTCTTGCCCAAGGACACACCGTCAACCCTTTACTTTCAGGGCAAATTCCCAAATCCAACACGACTGTCGCCCAATAACAAAATCTGAGTGCAAGCGAGAGCCAAAAGTGGTATCTGGCTTGTCAGTTTTGAAAAATGGTATATGCCGTTTCCCAACAGGCATATGCTGTTTTTTAACTGGCATATGCCACTTATGGCTGCGGCTGCAAAATCTGGCTGAGAAGGAATCCATCACAGCACATTGTTTCATTCATTTTCTGAAGGCCATAAAAAGCCGGCTGTGTGGCACAGCCTCGTAGCCTCTATTCATTCTTCTTCTTTGACATAGGGGGAATATTAGAGATGGAACCTAGATATGAAGATTGAATAAAGCAAACACCACACCCTTCCTCACAGGCTGACTCTTAATAACCTGAATTTAAATATATATAAAGAGAACCTTACAATATGAAAATATTTGTGCTCTATTTCTGAATAAGCTTTAACTAAAGTTTCATTCAAATAGTTCAAGGATTTGAATAAACCTGTTTAAATTATCTCTTATAAGCAGTTTAGATATATGAAGGTTATAACAAGCATATTCTATTCTTATACTCTTGGTCTTCCTCTCATCTGGGATCGGGTTGTGGGGGCAGCTCTTTAGCAGGAACGTCCAGAGACTCCCCTCTCTACAGAAGCAAGAGTGAAGTCTCCCCCACGTCCACTGGGAGAAGCACAAGGCTGTTACAGGACCAGCCTAGAGACCTAGTCCCTCCAGAGTGTCTTTTCACATTTATTGATTAAAAAGTGTTTATGACAGAACATTTTTTCCCCATTTAATTTTTTTGTTTTAAGGCTAGTTAATATGGCCTTTTTTTAATAGAGGGCAGACAGAAAGCAGGAACAGAGAGAGGAGGAAGACATTTGGCTGAACCTGCGACGCATCAAGACCAAAGTTTCGGTGCATGATTCATGCGTTTAACCCCTGCATCACTGTCACACACACCATTGAAGCCTTTTTAATTAGGAATAGGAAGGAAGGAAGGCCAGCGGTTTCAGAAATGCTGTACACTGTTGGTTTTCAAAAGTTGCCACAGAAACTAGTGCAGAAAGACTTAACGAGTTGTTTCCCTCTTCAATTTCACTTTTCTTTGTTTACCTTTCAAATTTGTGATCAAGTGTAACAATACTCATGCATTTCACAGCTGTGTGGTTTTTCTTGTTTTTATTGTAAATGTAGGAAACATTTATCTTAGTATCTTTAAGTCAATTAACAGATTATTTAATCTAACGGCAGTAACCAGAAATGTATTAATAATGATCCCAATCTATTCATAAGATAATCAGAATTGAACTGGTTGTAGGTTTGTTTAGAACACATAATTCTTACTCTTGCTAATCAGTATAGAACAGGCCTAAAAGACAGCAAGGATAGATTCAACTTAATGGTCAATAATTTAGATTTTTTTTTTTTTTTGGTCATAAATCTAATTTCCAGAAGTGTGGTAAGTTTATTAATAACTGTTCAATCTTCAAATGAAGCAGTATTGTGTTTTAGTTTTAGTTCACTGTGAAAACAAAAGCGTACAAAACAAACAACAAAGTGTATATTTATTTTCGCAGATTTTTGCTCATGATGAAGAACAGAAATATAAACAAGTAAATTGTATCACTTGTTGTTAGGCCAAGTATTTTGGCCTAAATACCACTCAGTTATTTGGCAGATAAATGTGAAGGCCCAATGAAACCCCGTAGCATGTATATGATTATTTTGCTTTAGCTGCTTTTACAGTGGAGATGATCCAGCCTTTGTAGTCAGGTATTCGGGCATATCTATACAGACGGGGCTCATTTGCGTGTGGCTGCAACATAGTCGACACCACTCCATAAGCTAGTCCTGGTTCACAAACCAACGGACCGCCAGAGTCTCCCTAAAAGATAAAAAAAATATGAATGAGGATTTCTGAAAGCATAAAATGAGCTAATTTCTTAATAGTCATAAAAAGTCAAAGATACATACTTCATTTGGTCCATTCTTTCCCTGTGAGCAGTATGCGTTTTCCTTTTTGCAGGTTTCATTTTTAATCAATGTTATATTGATTTCCATGAGTAATGGGGAAAGGTAGCCATTGTCTTCTGTTTTACCCCAGCCGGAGACACTACATGACTTTGGCAGAGCCTCAGCATCGTTGCTTGCCAAATTAATGGGTTTCACATTACTGCTAAAGTTTGCCTTGGAGCTCAGCTTTAAGACCAACATAAAATACATAGAAATATAAATACAATTAGGAATTGTTTTGTGTTTATTTTAGCTAATGTAGCATGGTAGCCTATTTTAACCAGACCCTTTGCAACTGACACAAGAAATGGATGATAGCATAAATGCAAGGTGTAGATCTTATCTCACCTTAAGTAGCATGATATCATTGATATATGTGTTACTGTTGAAATGCGAATGAGGAAATGCTTGCTCCACAGTAATGCGCTCCGCATTGTCCTTATTATCCACATCGTGAAGCCCAAGATAAATTAAGTATTCCCTGTAATGGAAAAAGAAAATGTTTTATTTGCAAATGAAATCACAGCATTGTTTAGAAAATTAAAACAAAGAGTATTAAACTGACTTGGCTTTACAATGGGCAGCTGTCATTACAAAGTCCTCATTCAAAAGGAATCCCCCACAGTTGATTATATCTCCATTCGGCATGGTTCTCTCCACCAGCACCATGTACGGCCTGCTGTGTGGCACAACCACGTGGCCTCCAGTGATTTTTCCTGGATAAACTGCGGAAAATCTAAAGATGAATATTCAAAAGCCATCCTTTCCTGTTACGAGTGTCATAGCTGCAGCATAAAGCATCTTCTAAAACAACCCCATGAAAATAAAATAGTACATTTTAAGGTTTTTACATGTTTGTCAAGTGTTTTGGATTTTTTTTTTTCATTTAAGGGTAATATTTGTTAATAATATCTGAGGATTGATTTGTAGATTTTATAAACCTGAAGTGGATCTAAATTATTTTATAAACTTAAACCTGTTTACATTTAACACTTTAAATGGTTTATCTGTAATCAATTGATTTTAAAGAAAATCCTTACCTGGACCACAAGAACTTAGCAAAAGCAACAGCACTGCCGCTTTTTCGTGTGACAGCATGACAGGATCCCAGTCTAGAGGAGCGACGGCTCTGAGCAGCTGAGACAGATTGCTCTGACAGCTTATCTTCTGTCCTTCCTGCTTTATAGACAGAAAAAGGTTTCACGTTGGTTATGTAAATGACGTGGTTTTCAACGACATTTTTAAGTAATGGTGTTATGTAAAAGCCTTGATGATTGATACTCAAAGCAAACTTTTTAGGCATTATTTTAATTATTCTAATGGTGGGATGCAAATATCACATTGCATAGACTAGCTTAGATGGTGCAAAAAATATATAAAGTGGCACTAATTTAATAAGATTTTGTTCTGTGCAGTCTGAAATATAATTTTATTAATGAAGTTAGTAAAAATAACCAGTCCAACTTGGCTGTAAATGAAAAAAAAAATAAAGTGAATAAAATGAGGCACCACAATGAACAACATTGTTTTTCAGTTGTTGAGAACTGATAAGGAAGGTTTAAACAAAATGTGGAGGTATTTCATCCCATTTCTCTTTAATTCTGCCAGATTGGAGAGTTTCTGAGCATTAACTGTCTGTGATGATTCCAGATTTTGACTAGGACTCTGAAAAATCTATTTAATGCTTGACCTTCTCATTTGATTCCATTATTATATAACAAGCAGAATGTGTGCTTCCATCAATTAAGCCAATCAACTATGCTACAGCTACACAGTTTTGTTTTTTTGTGTATTTATGGCACTAGTGGCTTGTTTTCTGGCAGTAGGCTGACAGGAAAGGGGGTATGAGAGAGGGGGGAGAGACATGCTGGAAAGGACCCGCGTCGAGGACTAAGGCCTCCATACATGGGTTGTGCGCACTAACCACTGCTCCACCTGCACGCCCGTTGATATGCTTTTTTTTCTTTTTTTTTTCTAAAATTCTATTTCTATAACCCCAGAAGTAACAGTTTAGACAACTTATAAAAAACAAAAACATCTCAACTCATTTGAATGAGTTCACAGAAAACATTCTGTGAAGATACTGAGATGTTTATTTGGTGAATCTGACACAGGCTCTTGTGTTCTTTCCAGGTCAGAAAAATGTTTTCTTTGAAGATATAAATGTTTTTTTCTTTATGTCAGAAATAAATGGTTTTAGGCAAGATACTTTTTCTTTTATTTTTTTTTAAATGTATTTTCTAAGCATTTCAGACAAACCATTGAGAGCAGTTACCTGCATGCTCCAGGAAGGGTTTGTAAAAAAAAAAAACATCTGAAATAGGGTCATCGTGATACTACCATTTTTTTATGTCATGGGATATTAAAACATGACAAATTTTTAAAGGCATTAAAATATTTTCATTATAATGAAAAACTCACCTTTCCAATCTCCACATGCAACATGTATTCTAAACAGAATCACAGATGCTGGTTAAAGACCTGTGAAAATAAACTCAAAATTACCCAAATACAAGACAATTTGAAGATTTTATTTTTTTTTTTTACATAATCTGTCTTGTTATTCTTTGAAGTTGCAAATAATCCAGAAATATAAAATGAACAGTAGAAAAATAGGGAAAGAATACTTGTCTGCAGTATTGGTACCATGTAAAATCAGTATTACATCCAGATACAGTGTTAGACTATCAATACTTTCTGAGTATTTTTCGTGGACAGGATCCTAATTGTGTAAATGACTTCATAAAACTCTGATTCAATCCAGGGTCAAAGTATGAAGGCCTTAATAAGTAATCATAAACCTGAGTTTGGATGACCTACACCGACTGTATGTTAACATGTGATTTGACTGTTGAAATGAGTATTTTCAGTGATTGTGTCTAGGTGAATTCATCACTTAGAGGTGCAGAAATTTGTGTGAAAAGCAATAAAAGTGTCCACATCCCATAGCATAGTAAAGGAGAGATGGATCCGACCTCGTAAATAAACACAAAGTACATTTAGGTCTATGTGCTATAATTAAGCGGTGCTTTTTTACTACTTCAGGACAAGCATGAGGGGAAATACTAAAAACTCTTTCCAAAAACAGTCAAACACGCACCCATCTGTCAGGGTTCCAGAAGTGTGCAATGAGATTCAAAACTCTGCACACTTGTAATCTGATTTTTGCACACATGCAGTTTTGTCTGTGTGTATCAGGCAAGCTTTGCAAACAGATTTCATGATTTCTATCTACAGTAGTTACTGCCTGTGTGTAAATTTAGTACTTGCATTTATCTTATTTATTTGTAGTTGCATTTGTGCACAAAATTTGCAATACCCATGTTATTTACAGAATTTAATGTAGGATTTAATCCCATTCAGTTGATTTATATAGCACCAATTAATATCATCTTATTTTACAGAGATAATTCGATCATATCATACATTCAGATTGCTAAAAAGAACCACTTATCCATAATTATTTTCTATTTTTACATATCCAAATTGTTTTACAAATTCAAATACCCAAAGCTACACATAAATAGGTTTACACTGTTTAAAAAATCTAGTAATAACTACTCAGAGATTAATTGGGCCTCGTGCAACTCACTGTATTCTTTTCGAAACTTTCTCTTACTTTTTTCTACCCGTGGGTAGCTTTATTTTTAGAGTATTCTTGGGTGAATCATCAATCACTTTTGTGGGGGGTTTCATATAAAGCTTCTCTCAGATTGTTTCTGCCACATCAAAAGTCTGCCACATCAAATTCAACAAAAGTTCTCAACTTCAGAAAAGCTCTTAAGAGACCACGAACATCTCATGCCCATGGAGTAAGCGCAAGCTCATGAGAACCTCAAATAATTACCGCCCTCGTAATTCCATGTAAGGAGACGGAAGTTCTGCTGAATGAGAGCTGAGCAGCCAAGTAGAGGAACCAGCGAAAGCCAAGCAGTAAAATAAATCACAGGAGCTGTAAATACTACTCCTGTTGCACTGTTACAGGTGTAAAAATAGCAATGATCTGAAAATAGTGCCAAAGACATGTCTTACAAAAGCAAGAGAGCCAATGAAAACTACTGCTTGAGGTAAGAGGTGCAACATTTGATGTAGAAGCCTAATTTCAGTTTGCCATCAACCATCATGACTCAAAATGTCAATGCAAACGTGTACATTTCCAGCTATTGACCACGTTCTCCATCTCCATCTCTCTCATAAAAGAAACAAACATAAAAATGTTCATGGAGAAACTCTAATTTGACAATTTCAGACCCAAACATCCCAAGGCGGTGCCATAAAGTCAATTAAACGCAAGTCGGTCTCAAGCAGCAATACGTTGCTGAACTTCCTTCCTGAACTTTCATCCATTTTTTGTTCCAGATGTAGTATCTTAATATCAAATAGGCACTGACTGTTCTTTCTTTGGACGAAATCACAACATTCAAACCAGAGTCCCCTGGATGCCGACAGGCCAACTGCAGGTGTAGTGACCTATAGTTCTGTCCTCAGCCAATAAAACTGTATAACACATAATAATGTGGCCTAATTTATACTGTATTCTATATGGATATTGCTTCTAAGTGAAGATAGTTTATTGAAAACCTAGGTTTGGATAACAGTTGGCTGACTCCTTCGTCAGTCTGGAGCACTCATAAAATCTGTTTGTCCCTGAGAGAAAAGGCCATAGGCATCTAAAATTGAGCAAGGTCAACATTTGAGAGGAGTTTTTTCAGGATAAGCTATATTTTCCATCCTTAATGCTAAGACACAGAATGAAAGCTTGACTCCGGTGAAATCGACCTTATTTCACCATTGAACATCTAAAGTTTCAGAATCTTTTTCTCCATCCAGTTTAAAACGGAACAGCTTTATCCAATCATACACAGGAGCCACTGAGTGACTCTTGCTGCAAACTCTAGACCTGAATTACATTACCAGTACATGTGTCTGAGAAGGAGATTAGACTATACTGGATTCCTTCCATATTGTCCTAATTTCTGAATAAATCCAGACAAAGCACGTCCTGCTCTTACTGTAAAGGTGCTCAGGTCAGCAGATGCAGTGCTCGGGGATGTACTGTCTGCGATGATTGAAGTTCATCGTCTGAAATACATACATGACTTTCATGGCTTTCAAAGTGTGTTGCATGAGGTCTCCATTTAACAAATGGATATAGTTTCACCGTGTGTTGTTTTCTTGAAGCCAGAGCAAGTTGAATAGTTTGTGCCAAAATGGGCACCTTTCACATTTTTACATTAAACATGTCCAAGCTGAGGAATGAGTAGATCAGGTAGAGAAGCATTCATCCAAAATTCTAATTCGGCAAATTGTTCTTCAAATATTTTTTCTATCAAAATAATGTTTTAAATCACCTTTGATTTGTATTGTAAATTGATTTGAACAGATACATTTTTACAAATGAGTTTTAAACTAATTTGACCTCATTCAAAGATGAGCTTTGGTTTTTAAGGTTTGACAACAGCAAACCGTAATTTTGTAGCAAGCGCAACAGCGGTATGATCTTACTGTCTGGACTTTTTGTTTCTGTTAAGTTTTTACTTTTTGGATTCTCAAATATGCTTTGTTTTGTTCTGTGTTGTTCCTTAGATTTACATCATTTTTGTATTCTTAGTTTTGTTGAACCCTTGTGTTCTTTCATTTCTCCTTAGCTCCTTCTAGTAACTCTGTCTACACCTGCTCCCTATTAGCTAATTATTCCTCCCATTATTTCTCTCCCCCATATATACACCTCCTGTTCAATTACTTATTGCTGGATTCTCGTCATTCCTTCAATTTATTCCTCAGTTTTTTGGTTCTTGAGTTTTCTTGTTGATCGGTTCTATGGGTTTTAAACTTTTTCTATTATTTCTTCATTAAATTTTGCAAGTAAACATCTCTGTCTCTTCTTCTCTGGATTTGGGTCCATTACAACATCCACCAATCCTGACAGACAGATTTGTCATGATCTGGCCTGTTTGCTCTCCCTTAATTAGGGATTCCTTTCACCTGTCGTTTTCCATCCCTGCCTCAGTTATAGTTTATTCCCCTCACCTGTTTCCTCTGGTTTAAATTCAGTTCTCCCTGAGCATTCAGTGCCAGATCATTTCTTGTCTCTCTGTCAGTCTGTTTGTTCAGTTTTAGTTCATGGTTCATGTGCTGGATCCTAGCAGCCAGTGGAAAGA